CCTTTTGAAGACGGAATTTTTTTCCCATCGTTCCCAAAACATTTAAGTACCTCCGTACTTAGATCTTTAAAAAAAATTCCGTCTTCAAAAGGCCTACATTGCTTAGCCAAAGCCATGGCTACTACGAATGATGCTTTTAAATGAGATATCCTTTCATTATTTTTAGCTGATTCGACGGATGTCGTAGGTCCGCTTTCGTCATTTTGATAATATGAAAGCATTTTCAGCTCATCGAGAAGTTGCTCGCGGTCATCACCTTCATATTTTTCATATTCCGGATGGAATGACAAATAATGTCGCCTTATATTAAAAGTACGATTCCAAGTAGTCGTATTACCACACAACAAGCATTGGGCATTATTAGCTTTTTTTAAAACCAAAAACTGTAATTGGCACTCATACTCAGACATTTTGGGCATTGTTACATATATAGGTGGCAGCCACGCGCTAAAATTACGAATAAAAATATTCAACGGCGAAGCATAGTGTTACTCTCATGAAATCTGAAAGCAGACTGAATTGAAATTCGCTGCGTCGTTTCTGTATACGTATAAGCGCTGCGACGCAGACGCTACTCGCGAGTAGGGTTTTGCCCAGCATTGGTTTAAAACCACGCAGAAATATAAACGCACAAATATTAAAATTGTTATTTGGTTTTTTCGTATGCTCACAATCAACAATTACACCAAGATGACGTCACGCACACAGCTGATTCTGTCAAAATCACAAAGAGCGGATTAGCGGTACCGCGATTGGCGCAATCTGTATTTCTCTCAATCGTGAGTGAAATGGTTAAGTGCTGTCATTTTTATATGCCGAAACTACGCTAAATCAAGTGGGTTATCGGGATAACCAACTCAACAGCCATAACTACGTGGTTAGCTCCAGTGGGGATATGGTATAAAAGGCTGTTTAATTATATGAAAATAAATAGGGGTCTTCATCAAAAGTGATAAAATGTTGATAAACTTGATAAAATTATGAATTTATCATTTTGATAAATGAACTGTCAAACTTTGTATGGAAATCTATTTAACCAAAATTTATCACTTTATCAAACTATTTTGGTGGATAAATGCATAAATTTCAGCAAAATTCAACCAGGTTACCAGATGGTAGCTTTTGCTACGAATACATAAAAAGCAAACGAACATAATGGATGAGGTAAGAATAAAAACGTAACTAGCCATATAAGTTAAATAATAAACAATTATGTATGTAAATATTTACCAAGGTGCGTTCATGAAAGAATGAGGATAAACTGATAAATTTAAGCAATTTATCCCTTTATCACTTTAAATGAAGACCCCTTATATGAAAGAGTTGAACAAAAGAGCTGAATAAACTAAAATGAAATGGTAAAAGAAGTATCACTTTTATCGAACTAGAATTTTTTGGTGGATATCTCATTTGTTGGAAAACTTATTCCTACACGATTCTCCCATTTACTGCGAATTGTCAAAGGTTCGAAGAATCGTCAATCGCAAAAAGTTTGTTGTGGAATTACTCGCCTGAAAAGCCTGAACGACATCGAAAGCCTGTACGACTTCAAAAGCCGCAACTCCTGAAAAACCTGCTATCGAGCGTCAGCTTTAGATCAAGAAAAATCCTCATGAAACACAACTTTGTGAGATATCTTAAAAATTCACCCGAAAATTTGTATTCCGCCCATAGTAAGTCAGGGTTTACACCGGTCAATACTGTAATGACTATAGCAATTCATGCACACTTTTTCACTAATTCATGCATACTTTCCAATTGTCTCAACTACTGTCTTGACAGACAGTAAATCAGACAATGATTTCACCTATGCAGACAATAATTTTGACGTCTTGCGCAAGAAAGAAGCGAAATTCATAGCAACATAACTAAAATAACATCCGTGCAGTAAAATTTAGAGACAGTCTGACAAAGCGCTAGTTCCGAACTACATATATCAAAACTATCTCTGAACTAGTACAAAACGGATGCAGAGCGGGACAGTTGAAACTTGCGTTGTAAATGTGCAAATGCTCACTACTCGTACAATATGAAAGTAGCTCAGCGAGAAGACTTCCGACTCATCGCGAGCATCGTTGGTCGCGAGTTCAAATCAGCGATCGAACTTCTACCACATTGTGGTAGATCTGCCACTTTTGTGAGCATCTACCACTCAAGGTCTGAAATCTACCACATGTTCGCGTTTTTGCGTAGTTTTATTTTTGCTTGACATAATTTTCTTAATTTTAAGAGCAAAAATTGTCTAATACTAAACACTATAGGGTAACAAAAATGATATAATACAAGATTCCGCATTCCCGGCGAGGATAAAATCTCTCAAGTAAAAGTAAACAAAGCAAACAAATAGTAAATTTTACCAGTAATAAATATATCGACAGAAATCGTGGTTTTATCGTGTTAAATTGCAAAATATATGATTTATAAAAAGAACTAATAGCGAAAATGTTAAAAAACAGCGTTTTTTGTGAAAGTATTAGAAAAAATAAGTGCATCTAAAGTTTCTGAGGCGTTGTTTACTTTTACTTGAGAATTGTCAAAATCGGCAAACCCCAATTAGCTGTTTCTGGAACGTCCCACATTTGTTCGCTACTTCGTGATGTGATAAAAAGAAAAGCTGGAAGCACTCCGCAAGGTTGCAGAAATTTCTTAGAATATTTTCGAATAATACCTTGATATGGAAGGAACTGCTTTACACTGTCAAGGAAAAAAATTGCCAAAATTCAACGCAATTTTTAGCAACTTCAATCTTGCACTTTATTATACTAAATTGGAATTTTTTTTAGAGTCTAATTAAAAAGTTTGCAATTTAGGTGAAACCTTGCCGAATTTTTTTAATTTTTGTACAAAGTTTGATCCAAACCTAGGGATCTAGCAGATTTTTTTCAAATCTACCACATTTTTTTCCAGATTCTACCACAAAGAATTTTTGAGTCCGATCACTGGTTCAAATCGCGGTGAAGGCAGTTGTGAGGTTTCAAATTTAATGAATTTAAATTGTTGCGTGCATCTTACAATAATTTTCTTTGTTTTTTAATAAATTATGTGCAAAAATGGAATCTATAACAGAAAAGAAAATACGAAAAAATATCCAAAAATCGAATCGTATAAACGCGGACTTAATTTTTTATTTGCAAATAAGTATTGATTAGTGTTACTATTTGCAATAAGCGCAAGACGCCGCCATTCTTAGGATTATTTTCTATTTCGATGGTCATCTTATTGCCGTTTTATAATCAGGACATATTAAAAAAGAATTTTCTACCATCGAATAAACAGCCCTGCTACCCAAAAGTGGTGAACAATCTGGTGAAACCGCGGGTTTCATTCACTTCAAAACTGGTGAATTTTGTATGGGCGGTGTGCAGATTTTCATCAGTTTCCCTCTGTACGTGTGTGCCTTGCATCACTGTCGCACTCATTCATATACTTCGTAAGAAAAACATATAGCTGCACTCGTCTAGCATTGCCCACATCAGCTGGCGCAGGGTTGCATTCTCTTCACAGCGAATTCAAAATAACCTTCAAAACTTTAAATAAAAAATCTTATTTTTTTTTTTATTTTTTTTTTGCAAAATTAATTTTTCAAAATGCATCGTTAACCTAATATACATAGTTAGTAATCAATATTATGAATGAAAATTACAATTAACATTAATAATAAAGATATTTTTACATACATATGTGGCTGCTTAATTGCTTATTATTACTACTACTCCTTTGCATATAACTGTTTTCAAAAATTGCAAATTTTCTATAAAAAAGTTAAGCGATTTTAACAGTATTATAATCAAAAGAAAGGTAATCGATTTACCTTTCTTTTAATATATATTGACAGTTGCAAATCATTTGTACTGGTTCACAAAAATTCAGTTTTGTTAGAACTTTGCAAAATGTGACAACTTTGTCACTTCTTACATATACGCTTCATTTCTTTATTCATTCTGAACGTTTGGAATAAACTTTTTTGTTTACTTATTCTTTAGAACGCTCCTGATGATATGTTGACGTATATTTCAAACGCATTCTGTTTATTCCAGCAGTGAAATGGGATTATCCGGAATGTATAAAGAAACGCAGCCATAATGTTTTCCAAAGTTGCAAAATTTCTATAAAATAGTTAACCGATTTTAACAATATTATAATCCAAAGAAAGGAAATCGATTTACCTTTCTTTTAATATATATTAACAGTTGCAAGTCATTTGTAATGGTGCACAAAAATTCAGTTTCCTTACAACTTTGCAAAATTTTACCACTTTTTCACTGCTTATATAGCAGTTTACAAAAGTTGCAAAGTTTTTATGAAAACGTAAAGCGATTTTAACGGTGTTATAATCAAAAGAAAGGTAATCGGTTTACCTTTCTTTTGATATATATTAAGAGTTGCAAATTATTTATGGTGGTTCAGAAAAATTAAGTTTTCTTACAACTTTGCAAAAATTTGCCAAGTTGGACCTACACTTTGAAGGTGCTCCTGGCGTTGAAAGTGCTGAGGGCGGAAGGTACCCATGGTGCTCCTGGCGATGAAGGAGCTGAGGGTAGAAGGTACTGGTGGTGCTCCTGGCGATGAAGAAGCTGAGGGCAGAAGGTTCTAATGGTGCTCCTGGCGATGAAGATGCAAGCGTTGAAGGTACTGATGGTGAATCCCAAGTCTGTAAACAAACAAAAATAGNTTGAAGGTGCTGATGGTGAATCCCAAAACTGTAAACAAACAAAAATATCAATTCAATTTTATAAACATATAAAAAGTCTCAATACATACCTTAAGAATGTGACTAAAGTCGCTGGTGTTTTGCAGTCTAAAAGAAGAAATTACATTATAATTAAATAAAATTGTTAAATACGTATCCTTACCTTCAAAATTTCCGCAAAGTGACATTTCTTCACAGTATGTATACTGTCATGAAAACTCCGATTTTTCTAACTTGGTCACGCATAGATTTCTTATTAGAGTACGAATTCTTATAGGATATTGTGGCGAATACTGCGGCAACACAAAGCGAACAACGAGAAATAGGCAGAATGTTCGAGGAATGACGTAGAATGTTCCACAAACAGAAACGTCAAGTTGGATGAACACTGCGAACAGCGAGAAAAAGAGAATGAGCGATAAACTTCAGAACGTTCTAGAGTNACATTTTTTTGACAGTTCGAACAAAAAATTTGTAAGTGTGTGGGTGAGATGACTAAAAAGTTGTGAATGTGTTTGTAAATCGTTTGAATTTTAAGGGAAAGTGGTGAGCCGTGGCTAGCAGGGAGTAAGTTAGGTATTTGCAAATAGTTTTCAATATAAACTTAAGCTGAAATTAGTCAAGAACGTAAACCTACCGGTACGTAAACCCGAGTCAGCTGACACGATCTGTCTACCAAAGCGCCATGCAAATGAAAACTCAACACCGCAGAATTTTTCTGTAGTTGTAGCCCGTAGCGCAGAAATCTGCGGAATTTAGATTTTTCCGTGTCAGCTGATTTCTCCTTCTTTAGATGGTTGCCACTTCGTCAGTTTTACAGATGGTAAAAAAGATATAAGTTCCTATTCAAAATATGTTTCAAATATTTGAAATTTACTATTGAATAAGGTTTTTGTTGAAAACTAAGTAGTGTATATTTAGCTAAAATCTATTATAGCACGAAAAATTGTAGGTGAAAGGGTAAGTTTATGAAAAGATATTGATGAGTGGCAACAGTGTAGTAAGCAACACTGAGGGCTCCAGTAATCGACAAAATTCTGCGTATACAGACTGCGTTTAAGTATACGCTCTGCGTTCACGACTAATTTCAGCTTTAGTATTTGTCTCTTCTCTATTATTTTTTAATTTTAGCTTAAATAACTCGCGCGAAATGCGTATTATAATACAGCGTTCACGCCTGACATTTTACTCAAAATGGATTGTCATAGCTATTGTTAGGACGCCTACGCCACGGAGACAATTATTAGCGCTTTGGCAACTAATATGTATTTCTTTATTGTCTTGACAGCATTGTCTAATGTAAACGCGCCGAAGATACATGGAAACCAAACGTGAAAAGTGAACTGGTTCGGGAAAAATTAAACTCATAGGGCTGATTATTTTTATATTTGAACACATGATTATTTGAACATACTTTTAGAACATTTTTACCGATTCTTTTCGAAAAAACGATAATTTTTGCACACAATCAGCCTTATCATGAGTTTCATTTTCCCCGAAACGGTTCACTTTTCACTTTTGGTTTCCATGGTTTTACTATGGGCGGATGACAAATTTTCGGGTGAACTTTTTTTCGTTCGAAATTCAGGATAAAGCTGAAATTAGTCAAGAACGTAAACCTACCGGTACGTAAACCCGAGTCAGCTGACACGATCTGTCTTACCAAAGCGCCATGTAAATGAAAACTCAACACCGCAGAATTTTTCTGTAGTTGTAGCCCGTAGCGCAGAAATCTGCGGAATTTAGATTTTTCCGTGTCAGCTGATTTCTCCTTCTTTAGATGGTTGCCACTTCGTCAGTTTTACAGATGGTAAAAAAGTTATAATTTCCTATTCAAAATATGTTTAAACTATTTGAAATTTACTATTGAATAAGGTTTTTGTCGAAAACTAAGTAGTTTATATTTAGCTACAAACTATTATAGCACGAAAAATTGTAGTTGAAAGGGTAAGTATATGAAAAGGCCTTGATGAGTGGCAACAGTGTAGTAAGCAACACTGAGGGCTCTAGTAATCGACAAAATTATGCGTATACAGACTGCGTTTAAGTATACGTTCTGCGTTCTCGACTAATTTCAGCTAAAAGCAGAATATGTTTGTTCCACACGAGCTTGCCAGTACCCGCGGGTGCCAAAACAGCCCAGAAACCGTTCCTCACGCAAGAAAAATGGGTAAAGAGAGCGAATACGTTCCACTTTTGGATCATAAATGTCTTCTTCTTTGTGCACGAAACAGCCCAGACTGTTTTCATGAGTTTCATTTCCCCGAACCGGTTCACTTTTCACTTTTGGTTTCCATGGTTTACTATGGGCGGATGCAAGGCGAATTGTATAAATTCGCCTTGGGCGGATGACAAATTTTCGGGTGAATTTTTTTCAGGCGAAACTCAGGATAATGCAGCGTTTTTGCTGCANGTCTTACCAAAGCGCCATGTAAATGAAAACTCAACATCGCAGAATTTTTCTGTAGTTGTAGCCCGTAGCGCAGAAATCTGCGGAATTTAGATTTTTCAGTGTCAGCTGATTTCTCCTTCTTTAGATGGTTGCCACTTCGTCAGTTTTACAGATGGTAAAAAAGTTATAATTTCCTATNCAGGGTTGCTTTTAGCATTTAGACTCTTAATGCAAAAATGGAGTTGCATTTAGTTGCATTTAGGTGAGGAATTTTGTATGGATAAATGTACATTTAGAGTAGCATTTAGAGCTAAATGCGCTAAATGTGCTTTTACGCGTAAGCAAAAACAGCCCATAAAAGGCAGAGTATATACAGTAATAAACCTTTTCGCAGTTTTTCACCAATTGGGCCCCGAGGAGTACTTTCGGGTTGTGTGCAACGTTTTCGTTTAGCGCTCACGGCAATACTTACTGTGGGGAATTTCGGCTCGTGATTAGAAAAAGTTCTTTTCGAGGATAAAATATATATAATTGTGTTATTTATGAACAGAATGTAGTTTAAATATAATATCAATGCTAAATTGACAGTAATATCAATAGTAAAGTACATAATTATTGCTTGTCTTTCTTTAAACTGAAAACTCAAATCGTAATTATAGCCCTGAATGGGGTTTTCATAAATGANTAATTGTGTTATTTATGAACAGAATGTAGTTTAAATATAATATCAATGCTAAATTGACAGTAATATCAATAGTAAAGTACATAATTATTGCTTGTCTTTCTTTAAACTGAAAACTCAAATCGTAATTATAGCCCTGAATGGGGTTTTCATAAATGAAAGTTTAAAATCAATAAAATATCCATTGTAAGAATATATTTTTATGAAAAACGTGAATTTTGTGAATTTATCAAGGAAAATTCTCAATTTCCGAATATATTAAATATTTATTCCACAGAAAAAAGGTTTGTATAGTTATAAAGACTCCAAAGCCTGCCAGAGCATCCGCCCAGAGAGCTCATTAAGCACACCCAAGTTTGAGCGACCATTACCTCAAAAATATTCAATATCAAAGTATAGAATGTCACAAATATGAATTATACATACATACAATAGTAATTGGCATGAATGGCTACCGTATAAACTCAGGACACGCATTTGCTTGGAGACTCCGAAGCTTAAGGTGGTCATAAGTCGAAAAAACCCTTCGATTTCGCTCACCGTGCGTGCTTTCCTACCCCGCTGACTTCGCTACACTTCTTGCCGACAAGCTCGACACGTGTGACTTTCCACCCAGGGTGAAAAGTCATCGTGTAAATTGGCTCTAACTTATTTTTACGGTCTAATTAACGGAGCAGCCCGGAACGCGTAGGGAACGACATGAACCAAAAATACAAGATCACGTAAGAACGCGACGTTGTATTTGTAACTGGTTTTGAGAAAAAAGTTTGCGAAAGCGGGTTCGTCAGCTGAGCGTTTGTTTACATAACAAGCACCACTATTTTACACTTTTATTCAAGTAAAGAAGAGTTAATTCAACATGACAACACATTTTAAAGCATTTTGTTGCATCATTTTACCTAAATTGTGCGTTTAAAGTGGATGACAATAATTTTGGCTAATTTTGGTTTTCGTTGTTTTCTTTACTTTGTTTACTTTTCGCTCGTTTTCCAGTGAAACAAGATGGCGTAGAACCCGCTAAAAAAATCGACTTTTTTCATTCTCTTGTTCTTACGTGATCTTGAGTCTTTCGTTCATGGGGGAACGAAGCTAATTTTATATTTAACTAAATACAACTCTGCTTTTGGCTTCTGCCTTGTGCACTTTTTCGTAGTCTGGCATTTTCGAAGTTAGTGTTCGAATTTCATTGCGAAACTTCCATTTGCCCAATTTGTGAAATTGTCAGCAGAAGAATATCAGATTTTCAATAATTAAGAGCGTTAGTTTCACAGTTTATCTTTATTTAAATATTGAACTTATCGGCTATAAAACACATTGACGTTTATAAATCTTTCAGTGTGAGTTAAAGCTAATAGTTTGGTTGTCTTTTTGGTCTCCCATTTGCAGACGGCAACCAAGTTCTCGCGTGCGTGACACGACGTGGATTTTTTAGTTCCTTGGTTTTGGGGAATAATTTCGCCAGTGAGGGCAGAATTTAATTAAAATAGTACCTGATACTGAGCACGAAAACGGCATTTGTGGCCAATTTTGGCCGGAGGAATAACAGGAAAAGCCGCGTGCATCAGGCTTACGGTTCCAAAGGTAGTCATTGGTAGCGGGTTGGGCGAAGATAAGTAAGCCTGTACTAGTTACATGTAGTAGCGTAGGCAACGAAACTACGCAAGAGAGGAATTAAAAGCAGCCGTGAAAGTGACGAAGCAATAGAAACTTGACAAGACAAGTAGTGGAGGGAGTACAACTTGAGTATCAGCGTCCGCAGCAACAGCGAGCACTACAACAACAATTAGTGAAAACGTCTTGTGGTTCGCAACAACAACGTTTGCAGCGACGCATTGAGCGGCAGACTAACGTGGTTTGGTGATTTTCGATTTGGAAATGTCGGCAAATCCGCTATCGAGTCTATCACAAATTTGGCAAGGAGCATTTGGTAGTTCGTTAGGTACAGCAATAGCAGATGATACAAATCGACAGCAGCAACTACAAACTAAATTTCAAAACAGCGAGTTTCCGCGCAACCCACCAACAACTTTTAATATGAATACAAGCAATAATAACATTGCTTCTGTTGGTGACGCCGCGGGCGCCAGAAACAGCAATAATTATGTTAATTTCAATCAATTCATAATGCAGCATAATTTATTGGGTAACAATAATGGTTTTGGTCTTAACGGAGGAGTTACTGACATGCTAGGAAATGGAAATGAACATGGTGCAGTTGGTGGCTCAAATTCTGCTAATACAAATGCATCTTGCACACAAATCAGTGTAAACGAAGGTGGTGTCAATAATGATTATTTAAATTTCGGCGATGTCATGACCAATAAAATTCAAAATGGGTCAGGAGGAGATGCTGCACTTGGGGAAAGTACAATGCAGTCTACCAATGTAAGTGAAGTAAGGTAGAAACGATAAGTTATTTTGCATAGTTTATGAATGAGTTTTGAATAAAATATTGAACCGCATGAATTAAAAATAAGAAATTGCTTTTTCTTAAATTTAAAACCTTTTATTCGATTTGTTCACATAAACTTAAGTAA